GTGCTATATACTATCACAGTCCTGTAGACCAAACAATCAAGAACTACACACACTATTTAGGAGCTGTCACATTCAAGTTTAGGATATCCAGTTTCCTGATTTGTTTCCAAGTGCGGAGTATAAAGCATGCTAGGCAAACACTCTTCCACTTAGCTACAATCTAATGGAGATGAAACTCTATGTGTAGACCGTAAAGTGGGGCAACTAGCATTTTAAACAAAACATCTACTGACAACCAACTTCTGGGATAAATGTATTTTGCGATCATAAATCCTATACAAACTTATCACAGGTGAGGCCAATTTTAAAAGATTCCTACTACATCTATGCTGTCAAGAGGCCCTTGAAGACTAGGGTCCGAATGCTTTTCAAGGCAGGACTGCTGGGGGTTCTAGGCCAAACTGAACCACAAAGAATTTAAGACCAGTTGGGAACACAGTATGAGGCCAGACAAGCTAACACTAGGCTGTAGAGATGGCTCAGCGGTTAAGAGCCCTTTCTGCTCTTACACAGGACCAGTTCCCAGCACCCACTGTAGGGAAAAGGGACAGCCAAAGAAACACACTTTGGTCCCTGGAATAAGAGCCAGTGAAAGAAATACACCCTGGACCTAAAATTAGAGCCAAACGACTAAAAAGGACCAGTGAAAGAAACACACTTTGGCCCCGAAACCAGAGACAAATTTGACCCTGAACCTGTGCAGAAAACTAACCAATCCCTGAGCAGGACATCTAGCCAATATGAGCTCAGAGATAGAAATCTGACCAATCCCCATCCTGGAAAAACTTGGGGGGGGGGGCGCTAAAAAGCCTTATATAAACCCTGTGTCTGTTGAGCTTGTGGCTATGGCAGAGGGCAGCCATTCTCCTGGATTCGTCCTTCCTAATAAACCTCTTGAATGAGGGTTGGATGAGACCTTCCTTCCCTGGAATGGAGCAGAAGTTAACAACTTTTTCCTGGAGCAGGGCTGTAAGCTGCTACGCTTACTGTGACCTGTGGTATTCTTTGGCTCCGGATTGCCAGAATATTTTTCCATCCGATCTGAACAGCCACAATGCTTAGACCCACACAACCTCTAATTGCAGTTCAGATCTGACAACCTCTGGCCTCTTCAGTCACTTGCACGCAGGCGGTGAATGTAACCTTACGAAGGTAGCAGAGGGACAAAAGGCGTCTGCAACATACCTCGTAATAAATAGATCTTTTTGTTCGTCGTCCCCATCCCCCGCCTCAGACGGGGTTTTCTCTTTGAGTAGCCTTGGCTGTCGTGGAACTCGTTGTGGCCTCAAATTCAGAGATCCGCCTGCCTCTGCATCCCAAGTCAGGAGGCAGAGGCAGGCGGATCTCTGTGAGTTCGGGGCCAACCTGGTCTATAGAGCGAGTTCCAGGACAAGCTCCAAAGGTACAGAGAAACCCTGTCTCGAAAAAAACAAACACACACAAAAGCTACCATAAAGGCGAATACGTCTAGAAGCCCTGCACCAGTAACTCTACTTAACAAATCCCGCCTCAAAAATAGAAAGAGCAGCTACCGAGACACTGAGTTTTCTACTACAACTTAAGCGGCCAGCTGGGAGACACC